CGACGGTGCACGTTGTACCCGGCGCAATTCAATAAAGTTGAATTGCTGTGCAACTTCGTCTCCTGGACCGCAGCTATCAATATACCATGCCGACACATGAAGACGGTTATCTCCTCAATCTTGCTCTGTAGCCCGTTACAGTTAAATTGAAGGAGCTTCATGTGGTTCGGGAGACGTGTCGTGATGTGGGGTGTGAGTGAAGTGTATGTTCTTGCCGCCATTGGCTGTGTGTGCTGCTGAGGTGATTGCCGCCCTGTGGTGGTGGTGGGGGGCGTCGCAATTGGGAGCTGCGACCGAGCAGCGCAACACGGGCCCTCGAAGTTCCCAGTCCAATCTCGCGTAGTACGCAGACCTGAGCATGCCCTAAAGTGGCACCAGCCAAGGCAGGTGTTGCACTTGACTGATGTCACATTACGGAATATCCTGGTCTGACATACTGTGCAGATTGTAGGGGGAACTAGGAGTTGTTGGCGGCGGCGTGTGGGTGGTGGTGCGGTTGTGTGCGTTATGTGGTCTGTAGTGGCTGTGGTACGGTCTGTGGTGTTACTATGTTGTTGTGTTGTGGTGACTGTGTGTGGCTGCTGTGTGAGTGTGTGGGGCTGCTCTGGCGGACTATGGTTAGCCGTGGAGGCTGCTCTGTTTGAGGAACAGGGGGCCACGTACGACGTGGTCCACTGTCTATGCGTCCGTAGTCCCGAGCAGACTCTGAGGTAACTCCACCCCTCGCAGGCATTACACTTGACTGAGGTGGAGTTGTGGTGTACTCGTCTCCGGCATACACAGCAGGTGTATGTTTCTGGCCTAGGGTTTGACTTCATGCCAGCCCTGAGTAGGAGAATACGTAGTGAATGTAGCCCTATGGACGGACAACTTCTGAGATACTTCGCCGACCTAAACGGGGTTAGATCGCCGAAACAACAGCCCTTGGTCGGGTGAAACCCGAGTCATTCCGGTACGTAGAACCGGCTGTCGTGGGAATGTTAGCGTTGCCGTCGCTTCGACAGCTGACTATGAATGAATACAGGTATTTATACTTGCGATCCCGTACGAGTCCGGACTAGTCAGAAAGTCAGAATCAGTCAGATTTTACTGGAAATCGATCCCGTACTGGGTTCTTTGACTATTGAGAGCACAAAAAAAGAGAGTAAATAAGGTCTTCTCTCCGTCAGAAGAAACCAGTTTTAGTCCAAAGATTTTTTGCTGGCAAGTTCTGCTCAAACGATCAGCTGCAGTGCGTTTGGCAACCAAATTGTAAACAAAAGTGCACTCTGCTAATACATGTTGAAAAGTATTTAATTACTTGTTTAAGTTGATTCTAATCAACTTGAAAGTATTTTTTTTTTATTTATATGTATGAGCTGAGTGTGTTTACGTATAAAATAAGCAAAAATTTACATCCAAAATTTGGAGTAGAGGTGGGTAACTCAACTCAGAGTTGAGTTATTGAGTTGATTCCTATAAGTGAATCGGTAACTCAGACTCCCTGTCAAAAAAAAAATTAACTCAGTAACTCAGTTGATGCCGTAGGGCTCACATGAATCAATTGAATCATACCCTGCAAAAATCGCGACTACTCCACGCATGCGTGTAAAGAGTACTGCCTAAGGACCAAGGAGTACTCCAAAATTAACCACAATTCATATAAACAATATGGTCTAATTAACATTGCGATTTCCTAGGGCAGGACGCATATACTCCATCCCTGCATTACATCAGAGTAGCACAAAACTACTCCAACATATTAACAATGGCATTGTTGATATATTTTTTCGTTTGTACACGGTTTTGTTCTTCACTTCTCAAATGCTTTTTCGAAATTAATAAAAACCAAGACAAAAAGTAAAAATTACATATTGCCTCTGACGGCATTCGAACCCGAACATGCTGGGAGCTAAGAACTAACAGCGAGCATCTCTACACGTTCAGCTACAGCCAGACATGCAAATGTGCTTTCAAATGCTCAACTTCAATGACATTTCGTTAAAACACGAGCAGTGATCGGATAACAAACAATAATCTGGCGCAAAGACACGAGTTGGTCCGCTACTGCATGACAGAGGAACACTTTTGTAAGTACTCCAATATACCACAAATAGAATACATGGTCCAACGATTTTTGCAGGGTAGTGGCTCATTTTTATCCATATAACTCTCTCGCTTCGCCACAGTGTTTAGCATGGCAAAGTCTTGCATTTTGTTTTTGCACGAGGCGAATTTATACAAGGTGGTGGCAAGAATACAACAACAACAACCATATGTATTTTGTATTGCGGGTGTTATGTCAAATCTCACAAATTCTTATAATTTCGTTTTTTTTTTAGTTTTTCTCGAAATATGTATGTATGTAAGATATATAAAGATGTGCATATCAAATCAATTGCCTTTCCAACCATATCCACATTTTGAAATTCGGTACAATAGGTTTCGAAATATAAGCTTTTGAAAATATTGAAAATTCCACCTTTACCCTCCCCCTAGCACCGCCCTATTAATTTGCACACAAAAAAAATTACACCTTTCAAATCAGTAGAAAGGAGCTGACCACGCCCACTTTAAAGTTTTGTTTTATCTCAACGGCCGCTATACCGCATCTATGCCTCAAAACGAGTCTACGATACGAATGAGTGTAACATACAAAGAGTCAAATGAGTTAGTTGAATGAGCTGACTCCTTAAAGTGAGTTGGAGTCATTGAGTCAACTCCAATAAATTTGCTGAGTTACCCACCCTTAATTTGGAGGTTATGTTGAAGTTGACAGAAGTTACCATTTTTACTAGAAAGCGATCCCGTACTTTCCAATGTTACTCTCTCGCTCTGGGCGAATTTTTATTTTTTGACAGTTTTACTAGTTTTAGTCCGAGGAATACGGGATTGCACCTTATATGAAAGTCTCCATATAACCAAAGTTGGGCAACGCCCACGCCAGCACAACGCAGAAAGATGGCCGGCTCGCAACTTTTCGCGCGCGTCGTTCCAAATTATTAAAATTATGTGATTTAATTTTCCTTTTTAATCAAATGCGGACAAGAAATATAGTTTTTAATGCAATTATTGATATACAATTTTGATTTATCTGCCGCTAGTATGTTAATTTAGTTACCAAAGTATTCTCTGCTAAGCGTTCATTAAAGCAAGCACGGGCGTTAAGCTGATGCCAGATAAAACTTTGTAGCTTTGCGTGACATTTATAACTTTGCCAGCAAAGCGCCAGACGCAAAAGGTATGCCACAATGAACGCCAAGAAAACAATGTTGTACCGCTTTTTTACTCATCAAAGTTGCTGTGGATTTTAATTATTTTGATTTAAAATTATCAGCAATGTAATTAAGTTTTATGTTTCTGCATGAAAACCCGAATTTGGACGAAACAAAATAAATATTAAACCGGCTGATTGTCAAAGCGCGCAAAAAGATGGGAGTTGACCATCTTTTCGCTTCGCGCTGCCGCTTCAACGATTTATGTGGCATGCTTTGTGCATTTTCATACAATTCATCTTATCTGTCAAAGCGAATCTGTCACGTAAAGCGAAGCAAGCGTTTTATCTGGCATCAGCTTTAATCGCACTGCTGTCAAAGCGACGCCAGCGCCAACGCAACGCCAAAGTTTTATGTCATGAACCAAAAATACAAGATCACGTAAGAACGCGACGTTGTATTTGTAACCGGTTTTGAGAAAAAAGATTGCGAAAGCGGGTTCGTCAGCTGAGCTTTTGTTTACATCACAAGCACCACTATTTTACACTTTTATTCAAGTAAAGAAGAGTTAATTCAACATGACAACACATTTTAAAGCATTTTGTTGCATCATTTTACCTAAATTGTGCGTTTAAAGTGGCTGACAATAATTTTGGCTAATTTTGGTTTTCGTTGTTTTCTTTGCTTTGTTTACTTTTCGCTCGTTTTCCAGTGAAACAAGATGGCGTAGAACCCGCTAAAAAAAATCGACTTTTTTCACTCTCTTGTTCTTGCGTGATCTTGTGTCTTTCGTTCTTGGTTTTATGTAGACGGGCCTTAAAGTAGCAGTTCTGCTGCAGCGCACTAACAGATGCGTAACTACGAAAATGCCGCTACGCAACTTTCAAGCACAAAAAGTTACAAACACACGCAAATGTCCTGTACGTATACGCATTTTGTTCTGCTAGTTTTCATCCAGTGTGAAACCGTGAGAATAATTGTTCTGTCATTCTAGTGTGAAATAGCCCATTCGGATTAAATCCCTGCTGATGGCGTCCACCGGATGATTTATTTGCATTGTTCTCTTATCAGGCAATTTCATTCACATTTGAAGGTCGCAACTGGGATTTTATATTGCTTCCGATATGGGCAGTATGTTGTGGATTTTTTTAACAATTTTGCTTTAACTACTATTTTTTTCAAATGTAAGCAACTTCTATCAACTACTTTACTTTTTACGACTTAAATAAATAAATTAATAAATTTCTTATGTACTTGTCGGAAGATGTTGATAAACACGCAGTAGGAATGGAAAAGTCGACCCTCAGTTTAGCGTAAATCGACTTTTCGCTGAAAAAACTCGACTTCTGGAATCGACCAGCGTTGCCAGTATTGTTACTTTCGTACTGGCACGATTATCCTTGAAGCCTCGAGGGATTTCCCCAATATCTTCCGGTTCGTATCTCTGGATTGTTAAATAAATGCTAACGATGACCAAATTGTAGTACAATTAAATTTATTGTACAACAAACAATTTACATTATTCGCTAATACAGTAAAAACACTTTACAATACCTCTAAAGCAATAACAACGCTTTACCAAACATGTTAACACAATTAAACTTATAGCTTGCTTATTCGCAACTCACTTCTCTGCTCACTTTACTTGTAGCTTGCTGACTTGCAACTAATACTAGGTTCACATATAAGTAGATTATCCTCATTTTCGAGCTTAACACCCTAATCTGTAATTATAATAAGAGATTAGCCATATAAAATTCGTTCCTTGTTAATCTGTAATTATAAAATAATCTCAGGTTAAACCGATAACTTTTCGGTGTCCATCCTAGTTTTATCGATTGTTTTTTCAAAAAAGAAGAGAAATGCCAAATGTAAAAGTAAACAAAAATGTACGCTAGCAAGGAAAATAGGTTTGTAAAGGTATTTTTAATAAAATGTTAAGTTAAAATATATTTATATTACTTATTATAGCATAAAAACGTGATCACGGTGGCAGAGAGAAGAAACATAACTTTTCCTTGAGATGTGAGAATAATAAGCACAACAAATTTGACGGCTAATAATCTGAGTTTTGCCTGTGTAAACGGGGTGATTAAAAAACGAGCTTTGATTGGGATAATATTGATATGTGAACATAGTTTAACTCACTTCGCTGTGGCGGCGCCCTTATATACCTGCGCTCGCACTTATGGCAACTCTAGAACGTTCTGAAGCTTATCGCTCAATCTCTTTCTCTGGCTGTTCGCAGTGTTCATCCAACTTGGCGTTTCCCTTCGAGGAACATTCTACGTCATTCCTCGAACATTCTGCCTATTTCTCGTTGTTCGCATCGCGTTGCCGCAGTATTCGCCACAGTACCAAATCTGGTACTTTGAAAATGATTGAGTACGTTGGTACTGTTATGTTGCTTATGCAGCGTTTTTGCTGCATTTAAAATGCAACATTTAGCACTTTCGAAAATATGTTTTCGAAGAGCGTTCATGCTACCGCATTTAGCAAATGTACATTTACGCGAGTTCGAAATCGTATGCTTTTGACAAACAGCCGTGTTCCAGTCGCTTATTCAGATCCGTATCTATTACGATAAATTCTCACGGAAAAGATAATGTGCAAAAACCCTACTGAAAAGGAAAAAATAAATTTTAAACCAAAACTTCAATACAAAAATTTGAATTGTTTTAACCATGACCGACCATTTGTTTTTGTTTTATTCATTTGTCGGTGCTGTCAATTAAAATTTCCTCACTTAATTAGGAAACAAAACAAACAGAATTGATCACAAATTGATCCAGATTTCTATCAGCATCACATCGATATTGAATTTTCTTAACTTTTCTTTATCCAAATAATGTAAAATAATAATTGAAATCTCGATCGGCGATCACTGAAACGCAGCTAGCCACTGTATACTCGAAAATGCAATGTTGCCACTTTTTCTCATTAAACCATGTTCGAATCGTGGAAATTTTGGAAGATCACAGGGTTGCTTTTAGCATTTAGATTCTTAATGCAAAAATGTAGTTGCATTTAGTTGCATTTAGGTGACGAATTTTGTATGGATAAATGTACATTTAGAGTAGCATTTAGAGCTATATGCGCTAAATGTTCTTTTACGCGTAAGCAAAAACAGCCCATTATGTAGCGTTTTTGCTGCATTAAAAATGCAACATTTAGCACTTTCGAACATATGTTTTCGAAGAGCGTTCATGCTATAGCATTTAGCAAATGTACATTTACGCGAGTTCGAAATCGTATGCTTTTGACAAACAGCCGTGTTCCAGTCTCTAATTTAGATGCGTATATATTACGATCAATTCTCACGCAGGAGATAATGTGCAAAAACCCTACTGAAAATAAATTTTAAACCAAAAATTCAATACAAAAACTTGTATTGTTTTAACCATAACCGAAAATTTGTTTGTGTATATATTCATTTGTCGGTGCTGTCAATTAAAATTTCTCACTTAATTAGGAAACAAAACGAACCGAGTTGATCACAAATTGATCCAGATTTCTATCAGCATCAAATCGATGTTGAATTTGCTTAACTTTTCTTTATCCAAATATGTAATGCAAAATAAAAGAAATCTCGATCGGCGATCACTGAAACGTAGCTAGCAACTGTATACTCGAAAAAGCAATGTTGCCACTTTTTCTCTTTAAACCATGTTCGAATCGTGGAAATTTTGGAAGATCACAGGGTTGCTTTTAGCATTTAGATTCTTAATGCAAAAATGGAGTTGCATTTAGTTGCATTTAGGTGACGAATTTTGTATGGATAAATGTACATTTAGAGTAGCATTTAGAGCTAAAGGCGCTAAATGTGCTTTTACGCGTAAGCAAAAACAGCCTATTACGCTGTTTTTGCTTACGCGTAAAGCACATTTAACTCTAAGGCTATCTGCACACTTGTATAATCATAGTTGCGTTATCGTCTCGCTCTGAAATTTTCAGCCGAGCACATGCATTTCAAAGGAGATCTGCACACTTGTCGTTATCGGCAAATCATAGAAGATGCAGAAACGGATAAGTACGGCACTGTCGTTTGCTAATCGTTGTGCATGCATTGTCTGTTTACATTTTATGGCGAAAAATTAGTGAAAAAGTTAATATTTGCATTAAAATTGCATAAAAATTATTATTTTTTGCATAAAATTTAATAGGTTATTAAAAAGTGGATAATTGCATTAAAATTCAATAAGTGTGAGCGTTTTAACTATAAAATATGACGAAATTGGAATAAGTCTCTTTGTGCTTGCACAAAACACATTTCAGGAAAAGAAAAGAAGAGATATTACTGAAAAATTATGTCTAGAATTGTTGCAACACAGTCTATGTTTTAAAAATTGCAACAAGAAAACAACAAGAAAAACAGAAAATACCTGCTCCAAGTGAATTTTTGACACCAAAAGAATTGAAATATCACGACCGAGTGTGCGAAAGTGTAGTCGTCATGTAACCGTTGCATCATGATTGTGAAGATGAAGCAATTATGATTGGACGACCAATGTGCAGAAAGCCTAAATGTACATTTATCCATACAAAATTTGTCACCTAAATGCAACTAATAATACGTTTATGCGTAGGAAAATTCACGAATTAATTTCATAACAAGAAGGGATAACTCGTTATTATTGTGGCGAAATTGCGCAACAGGGCATGCCTTCTCTTTTCATCCAATCAAAAAACGTACTCGGGCAAAAGAGAAGGCACACCCCTATTGCTCACCTTCTTGTTATTTACATTCTTTGGCATCATTTCATGAAATCGTGAAGTGCAAGTCTGGCAACGCCACGTTTCACAAACAGCTGTTTACTGGCAAGAATGATAGAATACAAGATTGCGCCGTCCTGGCCGTTGACATTTGTGTACCACAAGTAAACAAAGAATAAGCGAAAAGAAGAACGAGTTGAAACTGCCAAAACAGTTCACTTTACAGCGAAAAACGTGTTTTAATTTTGCTAAATGCGAAAATATTGCATTTTTCATCTAATCTTTTAGAGAATAGCCCTGCAAAAATCGCGACTACTCCATGCATGCATGTAAAGAGTACTCCCTAAGGGCCACGGAGTACTCCAAAATTAACCACAATTCATATAAAAAATATGGTCCAATTAACATTGCGATGTCCTAGGGCAGGACCATATACTCCATCTCTGCATTACATCAGAGTAGCACAAAACTACTCCAACATATTAACAATGACGTTGTTGATTTGCTTTTTCGTTTGTACACGCTTTTGTTCTTCATTTCACAGATGCTTTTTCGCAATTAATAAAAACCAAAAACAAAAATAAAAAA